AGCCTAGTTCCAGCCATCTTTCTCTCTCTCTCTCTCTCTCTCTCTCTCTCTCTCTCTCTCTCTCTCTCTCTCACACACACACACACACACGCACACACACACACACACACACACACACACACACCCTCCACCACTACTCGATAAACTCCAGTGACTTCCTATTGCTTCCAGGAGCAAATACAAAATACTCCAGCATTCAAAGTCCTTTATAACTTATCTCATGCTTATGTTTGCAATCTTTTTACAATCTTACTCCCTGACACATACTCTTTAATCTAGTGACACTGGCCTCCTGGCTGTTCCACAAATAAGAGACTCCATCTCACTGTTTAGGGCATTCTCTTTGTCTGTCTCCCATGCCTGGAATGTTCTCCTTCCTCCACTCTGACTAAATACCTCCGTGTCTTTCTTTAAATTCCAACTAAAATCCCTACCTTCTACAGGAAGCCTTCCCCAACCCTTCTTAATTCCAGTGCCTTCCTTTTGCTAATCATCTCCTGTTTACCTGTGTATCACTTGCTTTGTACACATTTGCACGCTGCTAATCATCTCCTGTTTATCTTGTGTATCATTTGCTTTGCACACATTTGCATGCTGGATCATAAGCTCCTTGAAAACAGGTATTGTTTTTTGCCTCTTTTTGTATTCCCAACACTTAGTACAGTGCCTAGCACCTAATAGGCACTTAATAAATGTTTATTGATTGTTTGACTGAAGAGGCTAAATGACCCCTTGTGGAAAATGTTGGATTAATTGATTAAGGTTTAGTTTGTATGGACTCTAACATTAAGAATCCTAGTTTCATTATACAAGAATTTATCAGTCTGCTTTGGATCTTTATGATTTTTGCTGCCTTATGACTTTCATACAAATGAAATGAATAAAAAACATTAAGTACTTCCTCTGTGCCAAGCATTCTCCTTAGCTCTGGGTTTATTGATACAAACCCAAAGATAGTCCTTGCCATCAAGGAGCTTATGTTCTGACGGGAAAAACAAGACGAATAGGGGAGTGATATTAAGGGAGGAATACTTTGGTTCAAAAAGTTATAGGAATAGAGAGTAAGGTTACAGGGGAGTAGATTGACACAACCTTTCTAGTTCATTTGGACATGGTTCATTGTTCCAGACCCAGAGAGCAGGTGGGGAATTCCTTGTTAGATATGAGGTAGGGATGGAGAAAGGAGAGGGTGGTGTGAAGAAAAGGTATTCTCGTAGTGGTAAGGAGTCTGTGGAGATGACTAGAGAGGAGGGAGCGAAGTGAAATATGTTTGGAGCTTTCTTGAAATAGGGTTGTAAGAAAGGCAAGTCACCAATCAGAAGAGTGGGGCCCCAGGGCCAGAGTTCTTCCAGGACCTGGTCTCAGACATTTGATGAGGAGGCTGCAGAGGAAGTAACCAAATAGGAACAAGCATCCCACTTTTTAAATACGTAGTACTTTGATTTGATTGAATCCAGATATTAGAATTTCTCTCTCTCCTTTTTGAATTACCAAATCCCTGACCCTCAAGAACAAAACAGCATCTAAAAACTTCAGTACTGAAAAGAAGTTCTTTCATTGGTGGTGGTACTCCCTTCACCAAAGTAAATCAAGTTCCTCTGTGGTTTAATATTTAACCTTGTTGAGTTGTTGGGGCTAAAACCTTTCCATAACTTGTTGGCCAGTTCTCTGGTGATGAGCCTTTCTGGGCTTAGCTAAATTGATCCTTGGATAGGCATATCACCTAGCCCATACTTAGCTAGGCTGGTTGTTAGACACAGGAACACAGCCTAGCCCACACTCAAAACCTATCTTGGCAGGGCCTACTAAAACCTGTGCTCTGCTGACATAGCCTTCAAAACATTCAGTTACCTCCATGCCATAATGAAGCACTGGAGTAGGACAACAATAAAGAGTCCTTTAAGTAAAAAATTCTGAAATACAAATAACCTGTAAACTCTTAGAAACTAATGTTTCTTTCATTCTAGCTGCTTCTGGTGAGTAGGAAATTGAGTTTTGTGCCTTTCATAATGCTTTTGTCTCTGTAAAGGGTTGATCTCTAGATTGTTCATGAATAAATCATTTTACTCAGGTATGTATGGTACTTGTTCACATTTGATGCCCTAAGATAGTTTTAGATCCTTCTATTCAAGACTCTTCTATAGGAAAAAAAAACCTATACTTTTGGCAGTGAGATTTTGACTTATATGACTTAATATTTCGTTATTTTGATGATAATGATAATGACTAATAAAAATGAAAAGGTAGAATTGTATATCTGTTTAAAATTAAAATAGTGATAATTATTCATATTTAATAACAATAGTACATTTTAGATGATGATTAATTGAAAAGTGCTTTCCTTATAACAACCATACAGATGAGCTAGATATTGTAGTTACAATTTATTATTTACTATTTTGCAAATAAGGAAACTGGTTCACTCCCCCCATTCCCCTTCTCCCAGAGATAATGTAAGAATTTTGAAAGGGAGCCACTTTTTGACATTTGAAGATTATAAATTCCACCAGACAGTGTTAACAGTCCAAACCATGGCTGTTTATCCGTTTCTGGTTGTTTTGTACTCACTATTTCTTACTAATTAGACATCTTGTTCTATCTTTTTGTAGTGCAGAAATTTTACCTGCAACCTAACCAATAAAATAGATTTGAAATGCATCCTATTCTAAAAACAAGATTCTATTTCATAATAAAGTGTCACTGTCCCTTTTTTAATGTCATATCTTCTCTTTAAAATTATAACAACCATATATCCTTTTGATGTTAGCAAGCAGCTTAACAAAGAAAACTGAACCAAAATATGGGAAATGCATTCGTATGCACATATTTTTATGCATTTAAAAATCCTATTTCTTTTTATTTCTTTATTTTCTTGGGTGACTGTAATTAGGATGCATTCATGCTGTCCTTTCTTGTTTAAAACTCTTGCTGAATGCAGTCTGGATTTGGAATCTGGTCTTTTCCTTTCTTTAGAAGCATGTTTTGAATTATTCAGATTTAGTACTTATATAGAATATATGTATATACATATTATATATGTATATATTGGATTGAGGAAAAGACAGATGATGATTGATTGGTAAATCTCTAAAAAGCCAATTGGAAGAATATGTATATACTTCATAGGATGTCATTAGCTTTCTTGCTTTAATCTATATAAAATATCTAGGAAAATTTTTAAAGTGTAGGTTTTTTTGGATAGGACAAGAATGGCATTTTTTGTATTGACTGTGAATCATGCATTTTAATTCAGGGAGAGGTTTTTCCAGGAAAATTGGCTTCTAGAAATCTTCCAAAATAAGAATTATTATTTGTAAATAGATGGAAATATAGCATAATTATTTTTAACATTTCTCTTTACATTTACAAATACAAATTTGGTTTATAGGCTTCTGCTTAACTAAAATGAAGTCAAATCAGGTATTTTTGTGGTCTCTTTTAGTTTTGACATTATATGGCTTTATGATTCTAATATTCTTTTTATCTCTTATAGTAAATTGTCTGTGATCCTAAGGCTCTTTATAGTCTCAATGCTATGTTTATGATTCAGTTGATCCTAGTATAAAATTTTATGCATTTTCTAGCTTGGACAAAAAAAAAGTTTGGGAAAGGTATACTGAATGATGCAATGTAATTTCTTTCTTTTAAGAGACTTCGGTTTATTCATAGTTTTTCATAGAAGAGCCTCTATTTAAAATTTATTCTAAATTTTATTTATTTTTGTTCTCTACGTCATGTGGAAGGTGAGTGCCCACTGAATGTATGACACTTTGCTAAGTCTTACTTTCTCTTCATTTATAACAATTTTGATTAGAATCCACTTCTGTTTCCTTAGACGATTCAAGTAATCTCAATATTACTCCATATTGATAGCTTCTTAGAGCTAATTGTAGGAATTTATAATCAGTCATCAAATATTTTCTGAGCATTTAATACAGGCTCAGCACTGTGCAAAAAGATAAGAAAAGCAGTCTTGTCACTGAGTGCCCAGAACAGAGCTCTAAGGTTTATCCTGGAGTGGGAAACCTGCGTCCTTAAGGCCACATGTGGTGGCTTCTAGGTCCTTGGATGAGGCCTTTTGACTGAATTTGTTTTATAGAACAAATCCTTTATTTATTTATTTATTTTTGTGTTTTTTGTGTTTTTTTTTTAGCTAGGCAATGAGGTTAAGTGACTTGCCCAGAGTCACACAGCTAGTAAGTGTTACGTGTCTGAGGCCAGATTTGAACTCAGGTCCTCCTGAATCCAGGGCCGGTGCTCTACCCACTGTGCCACCTAGCTGCCCCAACAAATCCTTTTATTAAGTTGGATTTGTTCTGTGAAGTTTGGATTCAGTCAGAAGGCTGCACTTGAGGACCTAGAGGGTCACATGTGGCCTCAAGACTGCAGGTTCCCCACCCCTGTACATGCTTAGGGAATGGGGCACATATGATGATCTGGCAAATTAGACTGAGAAAGAGTGGTCAGACAAGGTATGAGGAAAATCAGAGGGATCGGTGTCAGGAAAGCCGAGGAAAGAGAGAATATTTAGGAAGGAGGGTTGGGAAGAGGGATGATCAGCAGTATCTAAAAGTTCAGAAGGATCAAGGAGGAGGAATGTGTCACTGGCCTTTCCTGAGTAACCTATTATGTACCCAGAGTGGTTGGTGGTACCCTCACCTTTTGGAATTTTAAAACTATCACTTTATAAGAATTACATTGTTGGCTATATAGGCTATTTATCATATTATAGATAATAGTGGGTTTAAGAGTTTAAATTGAAGCAACTCTGTCTACATGGGCAAAACCCATTTCAAATAACTCATTTTAAATTGTAGGCATGTGACACTGAATTTATTCTGAATTATTACTAACTCTTAGATCAGTGAGATTAATTAAACTCTTCTGGCATCTTTAATGTGTGTATTTTCTAGCCTGCCCTATAAACCCCCGTGAAAAAAATATATATATAATTACCTTCATGCAGCAAGCTCTGATTTCATTTTCTGCTTATATTATAGCAAGACTCCCTGTACAAACACTGCCTTTAAGAACTACTGTTAATAATGGAACTGTGTTACCAAAGAAATCAAGTGGCTCTCTACCTTCCCCCTCAGGGGCCAGAAAAGAAATTGTTTCACCAGCAACTAAAAGGTAGGCAAAAACCAGAATTACATATCAATGCATTAAATGCTCCTTGAAAGCTACTACATCTATTAAATTTTTAATTGAGTGTTACTTTCTCTTCTTTAAAAAAATCACACCTTAAAAATAATGGTCTAATAGTTAAAGCTTATAAAATACAATGTTTTAAATATTCAGTGATATGTCACCTTCAGCAAATTCTAAGAGTATTTCCTGATCAGCCATTTCTTTTTTTTTAGAAGTCATTACTTACCAATTACATAGTCAATTTTAAACTATTCTTTATTTTTTACTTCAAATTCTCTTCTCAGAAAAAAGTATACTGTATATGAATAACCTTAAAATTAAAAAATGAACTTTTTTAATACAGTCTAAATTTGGAACAAGCCATTCTGTTTAAATTATGCTAGTATTTCATTTTTACCTATGTTACTAAATGATTGGAGAGTTTAAAGTTATACATAACAACTTAATGACCAAACTCCATTATTCTTAGCCTGGTCATAATATATATTTTTTGTTGCTTCTTTTATTATGTCATAAATCATCTCACTACAGATTTATGTTTTATGAGCCCATTTCTCTAATTTTGAGGATTTGGAAAATTAAGTATGCAATAAATTGTCACTAATATGTTTTGTATATTAATAATGATATTGTATATCCATAACAATATCAATAATAACTTATAGAAGACTTTATGATTATGTAACTAGGCTTACTAGGTGAGACATGTTAAGAACACAACAGTATCACATAATCATGCTGATATTATGTCATTTGATCTTCAAATTAGCCATTTAAGTAGGTAGTATAGATATTGTCTCCTTTTCTGCATTTTAAGATATAAGCTTCAGAGACTTGAAACCTTCTATATCAGTAATAATACCTCATATATTTATATAATGCTTTAAAATTTAAAAGATTTTCTTACAAAACTCCTGTGAGGTTGAAAGTAATAAATATAATTAAACTTATGAAGAAACTAAAGTTTAGAGAGATGTGACTTGTTCAGGGTCACAGAGCTAGGACTTATCAGACCAGATCTTCTAATTCCAAAGTTCTAAAACCATGATGTTACAGAACATCTAAAAGTCCTCCTACTGCAGTTCTGTTTCACTGAATAGTAGTACGTGTTAAGAACACAAGTGAATTTGCAGAATTTGGCAAAGTGAGCTCTTCATGGACATTGACTGTTTAGATTTTGTCATTATATCCCCCTGCCTAGTATAGTGTCAGACTCAGTAGGTGCTTAAATGATTGTTGAATTGAAAATATTTACCAACTGCATAGAGCATTCATAGAAAGTGCATGAATTTCTGTTTCAGTGAACTAAATGGTATCTGAAGGACTTGAAGTAGTTGCTTAAGTCCTTGTTTGAGGAAATTACTTAGACACTGGAAAATTAGATCCTGGCTCAGCGATTGCATTTCCTTAACATAATGAGATATTACATAAAGAACTATTCTTTGTCAAAGAGTTTTTGAGCATATAGATGTACGTCTTGCATGAATACAGCATAACATACACATTTTAAAGAAAGGCACTTGATCTTAGATATGAATGGTCTTGCTAGTTAGTTGTCTAAATGCTTATTAAGATGGGCTTTTTTGGAGTTGCATAATTAATGAAAAGATGAGTTTGCCTCTGTAAGAATGGGCAAAATAATTTGGAAATAACTCAGGATCTTTTGGGGGGGACATTTGGAATATGTAATAAAGGAAAAAAATGTTTTTTGAAGATAGGCAATTAAAGCAACATAATTTCTAACTAAAAGTAACAGTATAGATATTTAGCATGTTTTGGTATTACAGTCATTGACGTCACATCTTCCTGGCTTAGGCACTAGTAGACCCTTCAGAGGCATATTTAATCATAAAATATTTCCTTCCACCCAGCATTGTTGTAAGGGCAGTGCTTAGCAAACTATAAGGAAAAATAAAAATGTTAATCAACATCAGTCAGTAAATATTAAGTGCCTGTTATGTGCTAGTTTTGTGCCATCCACAGCTACACGTGAGTTTACTTCAATACAGGCAATTTAGTGTGATAAAGAAAGAAGTAACCTTGGAGTAAGGAAGATTGGAATTTAAGTCCTGCTTCTGCTAGCTTTAGTAATATTGACAGGGCACTTAACTTCTCAGTGGCAAAGACAGTTTTGTAAAACTATAAATTACAAATGAATTATTGATTCACATTGATGAAAGAAAATCCATATTTGAAATTTCCCATGCTTTTGAAATCACAGCTCTTTTGTATTGTCCTGTATGTATTTTATGTGTGGATGTGTATTCCTTACTTCAAGGTTACCTCTATATTTATTGTACCACATTGCCTTTATTGAAATAATAATAAATCACATTTATATAGTGCTTTATAGTTTACAAAGCATTTTCCTTACAACATAGTTATGAAGTAAGATATATGATTAAATATACTTTGGAAGCACTTACTTTTGAACAGGATATAAGATTAAGTGACAAGAATAGCAACACATCATGCATTCCTAAATTGTGACTTTTAGTTGGAAATTACCTTGTTTTAATTGCCTACTTTCAAAAAGATTTCTTTACCACAAATTTCAAATTTGAATCCTGTGTTTTCAAATTATAATGCCTCTTCTAATAATGGCAAAGAATTGCATGTTTATTTATATTTATATGTTTATATATGTGTATGAGTATACATACGCATGTTTGTATATATACACACACATGTATTTCAATATTTCTATGATCTCATCAATTGTATTACCTTCATTGGTGCATTAAAGATTTTTGAGGAAAAAATTGACAGAAGGAGGCTTTAGTACCATAAAGAAATACTTTTTTGTAAAACATTTTAATGAAGAGGAGCATGCTGGAGTAGTAACTAAGTATGACTTTAGAGGGTTTTCATAAACCTTTTCAAACATTCTTTCTTTCATCTACCCTGATGTCCATGGGTTTTCTTGAGGACTCATGTGTAATGGCACTGAGAGTACAGCAAGAGGAAAAAGTAGCAAGGGGAATGAGCTAAGTAACAAGGTGGGTTATTTAGATCCCTTCTGTGACTTTCCCACACAGTGGGTTTCTCACAAGACTATTCAGCCTTTTGCCCTAGCAATTCCAGATCTCAAATTGTATTATAAAGCAGCAATCATCAAAATTGCTTGGTACTGGCTAAGAAATAGGGAGGTGGATCAGTGGAATGGATTAAATATGCAAGACACAGTAGTCAATGACTGTAGTAATCTATTATTTGATAAACCCAAAGACCCCAGCTTCTGGGATAAGAACCCACTCTTTGAAAAAAACTGCTAGGAAAACTGGAAAAGAGTATGGTAGAAATTAGGCATAGACCCAAATCTCACACCATATACCAAAATAAAGTCAAAATGGGTTCATGACTTAGATATAAAGGCTGATACCATAAGTAAACTGGGAGAACAAGGAATAGTTTACCTATCAGATCTATGGAGAACAGAAGAATTCATGACCAAACAGGAGATAGAGAACATTATGAAAAGCAAAATGGATAATTTTGATTACATTAAATTGAAAAGTTTTTGCACAAACAAAGCCAATGCAACTAAGATTAGAAGGAAGGTAGAAAATTGGGAAAGAATTTTTACAACCAGTCTCTCTGATAAAGGCCTCATTTCTAAAATATATAGAGAATTAAGACAAATTTATAAGAACACAAGCCATTCCCCAATTGATAAATGGTCAAAGGATATGAACAGACAGTTCTCAGATGAAGAAATTAAAGCCATCTATAGTCAAATGAAAAAATGCTTTAAATCGTTATGGAGAAATGCAAATCAAAACAACTCTGAGGTACCACATCACACCTATCAGATTGGCCAACATGACAAAACAGGAAAATGATAAATTGGAGAAGATGTGGGAAAATTGGAACACTAATACATTGTTGGTGGAGTTGTGAAATGATCCAACCATTTTGGAGAACAATTTGGAACTATGCCCAAAGGGCTACAAAAATGTGCATACCCTTTGATCCAGCAATAGCACTTCTAGGGCTATATCCCAAAGAGATCAAACAAATGGGAAAAGGACCCACATGTACAAAAATATTCATAGCAGCTCTTTTTGTGGTGGCCAAGAATTGGAAATTGAGAGGATGTCCATCAATTGGGGAATGGCTGAGCAAGTTGTGGTATATGAATGTAATGGAATACTATTGTGCTATGAGAAATGATGAACAGGCTGACTTCAGAAAACCCTGGAAAGACTTATATGGTCTGATGCTGAGTGAAGTGAGCAGAACCAAGAGGACTTTGTACACAATAACAGCCACATTATGCAATGACTAAGAATGTTAAACTGAACCCTTCTCAGCATTACAAGGATCTAAGGCATCTCCAGAGTCCCCGTGATGGAAAATGCTGTCCACATCCAAAGAAAGAACTATGGAAGTTGAGTCGCTCTCACTTATTTTTACCTTCTGTTGAGTTTTGTTTCATCTTTCTGATGGTTCCTCCTATTGGTTTTAATTTTTACTTACAACTTCACTAATGTGAAAATATGTTTAATAGGAATGTAAATGTAAAGCCTCTATCAGACTGTGTGCTGTCTTGGGCAGGGCGGGAAAGGGTGAGAAAAATTTTCAACTCAAAAGCATATGGAAGTGATTGTTGATAAATCAAAATGAATTAATAAAAATTTTTAAAAAAGACTATTCAACCTTTTCTTGGCCTTACATCCTCTCTGCCCCTTATCAGTTGGCCAGTCTCTTGATGTCACTGAAGCCTAGATTTCTGCTGAAGACACTTTATCTTTTTGTACCCTTTCCAGAGTTGGCTTCTCCATCTCTCATACAAAGATCCTAGAGGACCAGTGGTATACTCTTCCTCCCTATTGCCACTTTCAAACCTTTCCTTTTTAGTCCTTCTCTGTCCTCCTTACCCACTGCCCTGCAGACTCTTCTTTTCCTGAGAGACCACAGGGGTCACACTTCTTTTTATTGCTAGCCTTCAGTTTAACTGGCACACCATACACTCCCTTCCC